TATACATGATAACGTATTAAGTATAGCAAATGTGTAAGTACCGGATATGGATAAAGAAAAAAAAACCCTGTTTATCCTCTTGATTACACCCACCAAACGTACCAGTCTTTTGCTGAGATTTTTTTTATTTTTTTTTTTTTAAATCATAGCTCTAAACCAGCGCTGCTGCTCCCCCCTCGATGCAGATTTCTGCTGCCTCTTAGTCTCACTTTGTGATTGTGTCTGATGTGACATCACTGATTGTGCAGTTGTCAAGCGGTGGTAATGTACAGATCATGGACCGGAGCCCTTGTGACGGTTGAGTCACGGTGTATTTTTAACTGCAGTGTAAAGCGGGAGTCATCTTCCGTCGTCTGTTCTGCTGATTAAGGACGCTTCTTTGTCTAAAATTAGTTCTGATTGAACCTCCTGTTTTTTTTCTCTCTTTGTGCTCATCTTCTGGACATTAAGGGACTGCGATCACTCACAGATGATATATTTCATGGCTTTTTGTTAATGACAGTTCAGTGGCAAACATTTGATCTGTCATAAAAGAAAAGCTAAAAAGTATATGGCATTGGTATATAAGAAATACTGTACATATCTAACAGTTTCAGACAGAAATTCAAAAACTAAACCATCTATTTAAAACCATTCTTTCATTCAGTTAACAGATATTTCCATCTGCTCTTGGTTATGTTCTGTCTAATGTTTGTAATTACTGTTGTGTACTAAGTAAGGTAGAACCTAGAACTGCAGTTCAGTTCAATCATGAGGATGTGATTTTTTTTTCTCCAGTTATTTAAAAGTCACATTTAAACGAACAAATCTTTGCTTTGATTTATTTTTGGCTGTCCTCAAAGTATTACTGCACCTCGAAGTAACGATCCAGAGACAGAGATTCATTCTCGCCTTCGTTTCATGTGTCGAAGAAAAAGAACATATAACAACAAACATCCGGTGGTGAGTCAGCCACGATGAAACGCTCGCATGGATTTATCAAAGATTCACGACACGTTAGGCTTTTTTTTTTTTGATGGATGGACGATGGAGTTGATCGACAACACGTCATCAAACCCCTCCAAAGATGCCGGCTTATCGGTGTGTCTACTCACCATTCAGCAAATGTCTGATCAAACACATTGAATACTGATTGATTACTCCAGCTTTGAACATTAATCTTTTAGTGGGTGGTTAGTTCTGTTTCTCAAAATTGCAATGTATCGAGGTATGGAATTGACTTGTCGAGCCAAAAGTATGGCTATTACCGTACCCTACGTGGTCCATGGCAGAAACAACATGTTCAAGGTCTTTGTGTCCTTTGTGAGCTGCTGCGTGTTATGTTTGAAAGCGGGCGGGGAGGGTTAGATGGAGGGTCAGTTGTTGGTATCAGTATTGATCGCTGACAGAGTTCCCTCCCCCGGGGAACAGATATCTACTTTGTGTTTACGTTTGCCGCATGTGTGCACAGATGCACTGGTTTCTATACCTACATCCATGCTGCGGTGGCCAGTTCCCTTTCTATGATTTTTGTTTGGAAACATTAATATTGTTTATTTATTTGCAAGGGGGTATGTTTTGTATCTAAAAGACAAACAATTTTGGTTTGGGGGCCTTAAAGGGTTAATGAATAAAACTATAAATTTACTCATAAACAGAATGAACTTTATGTAAACGTTAAATGTTGGGATACTTTCATTAAGTGCATGTAGCTAGGTAATATTAGTCGATGCCTCTATGATCAGTACTTTAGTCATAGTGATTAGCATCCTAAAAAAATGGTTTTGAGATCTGTATATTTATTATTTTTGATTTATTTTAATTGCTCA